ACCTAGATGGCTTCTGGAGACTCGTGGTCACTCACATAAGCTTTGTATCTGTGAGAATACCACAGCCTGGTCTGGAGAGCTAGCAATTCCTGGTTCTCACTGAGGCATTGGTGGGTAACCAGGCTTCTGTGAACACCGTAACATTTGGAGTTGAGGTGGAGAAGCCAGGTCTGAGAGCAAGGTCTGCTTGTTTGTGACGAGGGGCCCATCCACGGCCTGACAGTGGGGAGGCATGGAAGGAAAGTGGGAGCAGCTGCCAGCACACAGAAAGCCACCAGAGGGGATAAGAAGACCCCCTCAGAGGATGGGAGTAGATGGACCAGTTGGGGTGAGGAATAAGAGTAGCCACATGTCCTCCTTTGCTTTTCTGCTTTTGTGACAAACACTGACCAAAAGCAACTTGGTAAGGGAAGGGTTTATTTGGCTTACAGGTCACACTCCATCATCGAGGGGGACCAAGGCAGGAACCTGGAGGCAGGAAGTGGAGACCACGCAGGACACTTCTTACTGGCTTGCTTCCCCAGGCTTGCTCAGCTATTTTTCTTTTTCATTTTATTTATTATCATTTTATGTGAATGAGTGTATTACCTGCATGTATGTAAGTGTACCCGTGTCATGCAGTGCCCATGGAGGTCAGAAGAAGGCAGTGGATTCCCCTGGAACTGGAGTTAGAGACAGTTGTTAGCCACTATGTGGGTGCTGGGAATCAAACCTAGATCTTCTCCAAGATCAGGCAGTGTTCTTAACTGCTGAGCCATCTCTCCAGCCCCTCAGCTACCTTATTTATACACCTGCCCAGGGATGGCACTGCCCACAGCAGGCTGGGCCCTCCTGCATCAATCAGTAATGAAGAAAATGCCTCACAGACATGCCCATGGGCCAGTCTGATGGAAGAAATTCCCTAATCGAAGTTCCCTCTTCCCGAGCGACTCTAGCTTGTGTCAAGGTAGCAAAGACTAACCACAGCGGGTCTCCTGAAACCCACCTTGGGGAAAAGCCTTGGGGAAGCCGGGTGCCCCCTGGACATCTGCTATAGTCCCTCCCCACCAAGATCATATACTGGAAAGTTAATCTCCAAATTCATGTTAACAGTTTGGCAGTGGGATCTTTGAGAAGTAGAGTTACAGGAAATCATGATAGCGGCGGGGACTTGGGGGAGGGGTTGATGACCTTTGTGGCTCTGTAAGAGGAAGAGTGAGCTGGTGTGCACGTTCTGCCTCACCTCAGGATGCCCCGTGCCGTGTCAGGATGTAGCTGAGGTCTCTCCAGATTCTGGAGCCACGCTCTTGAATTTGCCAACCTCCAGAAGCATGAGATGAACAAACACCTGTTCACTGTAAATCACCAAGCCTGTGGTATTCAGCTGTAGTTACAGAAAATGAAGCAACACAGCATCTAAACAGAGCAACCAAGCACACGGGATGCTGAGCCAAGGAGAGCCCAAGCAGACGTACACACTCGCTGGCAGGGACAGCCAGCCTGGTCAGACCTGCACAGGTCGGGCAAAGGACCACCTCAGCCTGCTGCCAAAACACTAAGAGAAGAAAAATAAAACTACAAACCGTTACCTAGAAAACACCACTATCTGCAAGAGATGGGATTCTATGAAAAGTCTCAGAGAATCAGTTTTAGAATTTGTGAAAATATTGAGATTTCAGTGTGATGGTTCAAGTTTGTTTAACAAGGTACTACAGCCTGTGTGGTCTAAACAAAAGCATTTATTTCTCAATACTTAGAGACTGGGAAGTTCAATGTCAAGGTGCCAGCTGTGTCAGTATCCGCCAAAGCCTGCTGCTGGGGGCTGGAAAGATGGCTTAGAGGTGAAGAGCACTGGCTGCTCTTGCAGGGGACCCAGGTTTGGTTCCCAGCACCCCACATGGCGGCTAACAACCATCTGTAACTCCAGTTCCAGGAACTGCAATGCTCTCTTCTGCCATCTGTGGGCGTTTCACAACACACACAGGCAATACACTCATACACATTAAAAACAATAAAAAAAATTAAGTCTGCTTCTGGTTGCAGATGGCCATGTGGCTGTGTCCTTCTGCATCCCCTCATGAGGCCCACCATCATGACCTGTCACCCCCACAATGACCCCATTTCCTGACACTGTCACACTGGGATATGAGTTTCAACATGTGAATCTGGGGGCACGCATTCAGTCTACTGCTGATGACAATATTTAAAAAACAATGACGAATCACGATCTCTAACAAGGAACCCATTTGGGAAAAGCGGCCCCTGCTGTCCAGGGGGAGGTGACCACAACCTGGAGCTGCTGCCGGTGTCTGTGGGACCATCTGAGAAGCTGTGTTCCTCATGTGCTCGGATGGAACATGGCAGGGATCCTTCCTGTGTACCTGCAACGGCCCTCATCGAATAACCAAGAAACTGTCAAGATGGACAACGGGATCATGTTGATAACAGAGAAAGCATTCCCAGGGAAACTGGCTACTGGGGTGGTTATCACAGTACCCTTGCTGATAACAAAAACTGCAGATAATTCCAAAGGAGAGGGAACACTTGAGTCAAGTATAGCAAATCCACAAAATAGAATGTTCTTCATTTGTAAGTGATTTTCAAAGACAACCTCAAGGCCTTGGGCAGTTCTTATCAAATATTAAGTGGGTCAAGAGCAAGTGTGGACAGATGATCCTGTCTTGTAAAGAGAAACAGGGCAGCCAGGCGCACACCTTTAATCCCAGCACTCAGGAGGCAGAGGCAGGCAGATCTCTGTGAGTTCGAGGCCAGCCTGGTCTCCATAGCGAATCCAGGCCAGCTAGGGCTACAAGGAGACCCTGTCTCAAAAAGACTGAGAGAGAGAGAGAGAGAGAGAAAGAGAGAGAGAGAGAAAGAAAGATTAAAAAGAGATATTCTATAACAGGGGACATTGTCCTTTCTAGATATCATAGGATAATAATATTTTTTTTTAATGCCAGGAATGAATTCCCTCTATAGAAGCTGTTTACCAGGGCTTCCATAGACCCTCAATAGCCCACGCTCTTTTTACTCACCAGAACTGGATGATAAGACCCTATTGCTGAAGACACTACATATATGAACTATAGAACAAATTAGGAGAAATCAATCTAGTTGAGAGAGAGAGAGAGAGAGAGAGAGAGAGAGAGAGAGAGAGAAACAGGGCAAAGTCAGTGTGGGGTGCACTGGGTCTCCCAGTGTGCAGAGCAGGCTGCTGTGGGATGTGCTCCATGACATGCAACGGTCAACGTGTCTTTTTCTGTTCTGTGAGTGCATGTGCCCTGAGCGCCTCAGGCTTGGGCACAGGTGGCAGGGCCATCTGTTTGACGAGCACCGTGTGGTACAGAGGACAAGTTAAGTGATGACCTAGAGTGAGAATATTCAACAGCTGTGAGCCTGGGCAAAGGGACCAACCAGGGAGTTCTGAGGAGCGACACTGGGTCTGCCTTGGAATCATTTGGACAAGAGATGAAGGCAGACCCACCTTCCAAGACCCAGAGGTGGTGGGAAAGGAGCTAGGCTAGTCTGACAACCAGCATCGGACCTGGGTAATGGGGTAGGTGCGAGACAGAGACTAGGCTGATGTGATGTTCGCTGTGCTGCCTCAGGGATGGTGTGAAGACATTAGTCTCCTCGGGGGTCAAGACCAGTAGATCCCCTAGGTCAAATGGAGGTGCCCAAGAGGTATCTCATGGTCACTGGGGAGGGGGACTGGGTCCCCAATCATGGTCTCCAGCTTTAACCCAGGCCAGAAAGTAGGATGGGTCAGGGCCCACACTCGGTATCTCCAGTGTCTCATCAAGTGGGGGATGGCAGGTCCTTGTAAGTGATCTTGGACCTGACACCTTGGGACAGTTAGAAAGGCACTGTGCATACTGAACTTGTGCCTAAGACAGGACACCAGTCAGGCAGGAGGCAAGACAGCTGGGACATGGATTGGCCAGAGTCACACACGGAGGGAACATGAGGCCAGGTCTGTTGCTGCCTGGAGTCAGGGCCATCCTGGCTCCACCTAGCATTCAACAGACCAACAGAGCCTTCCCAAACTTCACATGGTACTGTGTTTTTAGAGAAACCTTAGGATGGCTTTGATTACCTGGTGAGAACAGCTAAGGAAATGTGGAAGGAAAATCTTAGCAGCTCTGAATACAAACAGTAAAACTGAAATGGGCTAGAACAGGCAGGCCGGGGCAGGCGGGCTCCCGGTGGAGGAAAGTCACCTCGAGGGAAGGACTACTAAGGTTTGGTGGCACTCACTTAAATCTGCAAAGACCATCAGAGCCCCATCTCACAAGGCACACCAAATCAATCTCAGAAATGGCTATTGGGGGCGGGGGCTGGAGACCCACTGTTTAAAGAACAGGTGTCATCCCAGAGCACCACAGGATGGGTCCAGATGTCTGTTCTCGGCCCTTCTTGGTCCAGGGGTTCAGGCTCTGCAAGATCAGCCTCCCTCCATCCCATCAGCACACAGTGGACTTCCTTGGAGGTTCAGGACACGCAGTGTCATGAAAGACTCAGCACAGGAGTGTATCTGAGCCTCCAGCCGCCTTCAAGGAAGCCAGAGTTCTCAGAAGCCCACCAGGGTGGAAGCAAAGCCACTCTTCTCAAATACTGTTTTGGAAGATGCCATTTTCATTAAAATAAGCTACTTATGTTTGCATGGCCTCGGTTTCCTTTTTATGATTTAAATAACGTTTAAAAGCTGCGTGACATGGTAGGTGTTGACAGACAAAAGCTGTGTGAAGCTCTCTGGGATGTGAAGGAGCCTGGGGGCCAGAAAGCGTGAGAACCAGGTAGGGGCATAAGCACTGGAACCCTGTCACCCGTGGGTCCCAAGGCTTGGTAAGTCTCCCTTTGTGGTAATCTCTCAGTGACCCAGGAAACGGCCCTGGCATCTGTCTAGGTGCTGAGGGGACACCATCCCCATGCCCCATGCAGTCAGGCTGAGGGGACTACATGCCACTGTGTCCCCAATTCAATCACACCCACAGTAAAAACTCAGAAACGCTTGCAGCAAATACAGCACATGTCAGGTTAGTATCTTTATTTACATACAGGGCTCATATAAACTGGACAGACCTGTTGACAGAGCAAAAGGACAGGGATGGTTCGCAAGAGAGGAAGTGTGACTACCGGTGTGAGAAGACGTTCAACAAGCTAGAAATCAAAGATTCAGACTTAAAACATGCTATTGTTCCCATTATCAAATCAGCAAATGGCTCAGCCCGGTGGGAAGACCCTGAATCAGGACACACTCGCCCTTGCTGGTGGCAGTGTAATGGACGCAGAGATTTCTAGACCATTTTGTCAGTAAGTGATAAAAAGGCTCAGAGGGCCCATGATCTTTAATCCAAGAACCCCACCTCAGGAGTCTGTCCCAATTTGCCCTTGGGAGGAAACCTGACACTCAGTCACAATTTCTGATGCTGAAGTGGACTACACTTCAACCTGCAGGGACAGCTCACAGCCATTCAAGGTCAGGTCGGAGTCATGTGTGTCATGTGCACACACAGGGTCCCACCAGCAGTACTGTGGTGTGGTAAAGGTTAAAAGAAAACAAAAACAAACAAATAAAAACCAATGGGGCCAGGGGACTGGAAGATGTCAACTCTGAACTCATTCTTTCCTTTCCCTGATCGCCCAAACTTTCCTACTACGTGCTGATGCGGAGCGTGGAAAGGCTCCGTCTGCTGGGCCTGCCTGTGGAAAGCTGTTGGTGGTGCTGACCTAGCTCTGCCGGCTTTGGGCTAGGCCATCCAACATGAGGTCTCCAGTGTCAAAAATAAACGCTCAGCTCACAGGACTTTCCCAGTGGCCTGAGGCCCGCTCCACCTCCAGGCCACTGGGAAGGGGGTCTATTGACCTAACCCCAGAGCCTCGTGTCCTAATGTCCTTACAAAGCCCTAACCGGAACCTCCCAGGCAGAGGAGACTGGTCTTACCAGTCGGGGTGTACAGCCGGGCCTGTCACCCAAAGCCCTACCTCAAGGGCATCCCAGCCTATCCCCGGGCTTGCCCCTAAGTCAGCCTCAGCCTGCGCCAGCTTTCCTGTCAGCCTTCCCTGGCAGGCCGACACTCGGGGCCGCTCATTGAGCTGTGGCCCTGTCCTCGGTGATGAAAGGAATGTATTCACACTGTCACATATCCACCCGAGGCTAAGGAGGTGAGTCTTCGCCATTTCCTCAAAGTCACTACATGCTTTGGGCCACGAAGCTAACCCCAAATTCACATTATCCACTAGGCTGGGGGGAGAGTCACCCCTATGCCAAATCCTATCTTCAGTTAGACTCTGGAATGCAGTGAGCCTTGCTTACCAGATGGGGTGGCCACGGAGACAGTCACAATCCTGTTCCAACAGTCAATACACACAGGAACCCTCCACTGTCCCTCATAATCCACTGCCTGTTCTCTTATGAGTTTGAGAGATTATAACCCCAAAATATGTACAAAGCCTCCCCCTCCCCTTTGTCTTCAGTCTGATGTCCAGACACCACAGTCTCCCTCGGCTGCACGAATTTGGGTTTTATTTCAGTTCTGGGACTAGCATGCCCCCCTAGAGCCAGGAGAAGCGTCTCCGCAGCAGCCCCACAGCAGTGTTCTTGCACATCTAGGGTGGAGGGCACACTGCCAGTCTCTTACACCTCCAGGCTCCAAGCCACAGGCAGCTATGGAGAAGGTCCTGACTGCTCAACAGCACTGCCCCAGGCCTGTAACCACAGGCCCAATAAGCAAAACAGTGAGATCACCTGAAGCAATGGCTTAGGAGTTGGGAGTGTAGACCAGCGCAGTCGGTGGGATGGCCCTGTGCACAGGGAGACCAGCCTGTACGGCTCTAGCCCTGGAGTCAGATGAAAACTCTGAGACAAACATGGCATCCACACATGCCTTGCCCTGCCACTGGGCCTCCTCCCATGACTGGGTGGACTACAGAGCAGTCTTCCAGGTGTGGTATACCTCCACTGAGGGACCCCTCCATTGTCAGGTAGAGGCCTGACCTCAGCTACTGGACACAGGTAAGCTCCAAGCACACTGGATACCTGCCCTCACAGTCCCGCCCCCAAGGGAACCTGCTGGCAGTCCTCACACACGCACTTATGAAGCACCATGGTCCAGCGGAGCCTGGGTCTAGGCTGCTGTTCAGCAGGGAAGCTGGGCTAAGAGGGAAGAAGTTGGTGGCAATGGACTGCAAGGCCAGCAACCTCTGAAGACCCTGGCCTTGCAAGGGTGGCTGCTTTGGAATCCCAGCCACACAGGAACTCTCTGGAAGAGGCCAGGTTCTAGGCCTCAGTCTCTGGGCTCCCCAGAGGGGATACCTTTTGGTGGGTACAGAGTTGGTCTTTTTGTGATCAAGTCATGGCCACACAGACACTAGAAGGAGAGCCCAGGAGAGACACCCATCTCACCCAAGGGGCCAGATGGTCATGTAAACCGTACATTTGGCATTGAAATATGGTGGGAACATCACAGTCCAAAGGCTTGGCCAAGTCTCCGTATAATTTCCACGTCATCCTTCTGTGAGGAAGCCAAGGCCCACCCTGAGGTAAAGCTTTCTTTCTCCCTCAGAATTAGGACATGTTCCCACATGAGGACCACATAGATCCTACCTGGGGAGCCACAGGCCCAACGCCCTCTGCCACAGGTGCTCGCTGCCGCCCAGAAGAGCGGGCCCTGGCGAGAAGTCTTTTGTTCTTAGACCAAGGGTAGACCTTAAGCCTAGGCATGGAGAGGGCAAGTTTAATCAGTTCCTTGGATGCCCTAGAGATGGTGTGGGTGGCTGAGAAGCTGAGCTGCAGGCCATGTGGCCCCTGGATGGAGAAAGGAAGGGTCTCCGGTTGGAGGCCCACCACAGAGCAACATGGGCCCCATAAGCCAACACCAACAGCTTATGAACCTGTCACTTGGAAATCCAGGCAGCAAATGGGGTCACCAGTATCCCCCTCAAACTTTCACAGCTCTGAGGCATGGGTGTCAGGAACCTGGTGCCTATGGCAGCCTGAGGGAACTGCCCAGGGTCCCATGTCTATAATTAAACTTGGCAGACAAATGCTAGACCTCCCCAACTCCTGATGCCATGTGAACACTGGCAGTCATGGGCAGGCAGGAACAGGAAAGGCTTCCTTTGGACCCCCATGAACCAGGAGAGGCAGGAAGTGATGCCTGCAAAGGGCCAGGCCATCTAGCAACAGCAGTGGGGTGCAATGTAGTACAAGTTCCTTCCCAGAAGAAAAGAACCCTGGAATGTAGTGAGTGCCTGGTCACCTTGCCAAGCAGCCAGTGAGCAGGCTGATTCCAAAACAAGTCAGTCACCTGCCTGGCAGACCTGGCTTCTTCCCACCCAGACCTCCTCAGCCATACCAGGCAACCAGGAGGGAGCAGCTGATGGTGATGGTCCATGTGGTTTTGGAGAATGCAGGAGCAGAAGCTGTCTGTAAACCGAGCTGGCAGAGATGGTCAGTCCAAATGGTTGCTAAAAGATACACGTCCAAGGAGCTGTGTGTGATCACTGAAGTAACTGCGAGCAACAAAAAGTGAGGGCATGCACTGAGTCGAGGCTGGAGCTAGCTCATAACAAGGACGCACAGTAAGGTAGATGAGGGTGGATAGCAGGACCTCATCCTGGTGTCGGCAAACAGGAGAGGCAGGAAGGGGGCGTCTGCAAACAGGGTGATGCTATTGTATGGACCTTTCTCGGCAGTAATCTAGCTCCCCAGGTGGTGGCAGATCCCTAAAGGTTCCGGGAGCGAGTGGGCAGGGCTGGTGCAGGACTGGTCCCGCTGGAAGCGGGATGCACTGGGCAAGGTCCTGTGCCAGCTGCGGCCAGTTGGCGGCACAACGTCTGCCGCTCTCGCACTGCCCTATTGGACGCAGAAGTCTTCCGGATTTGGGCACGCCGCGCGTGGCGCAAAGGGGACTTGTAGGTTCTGCGGAGCTCAGCCAGGAAGCCCTGGTAGTTGTTGCGCAAAGGGCTGTCCGGCTGCATGTGCGGAATGGCCCACTTCTCGGCCTCCCCAGTCAGTCGGGACACGAGGAAGGCCACTCGCTCGGCCTCACCAGGGAAGCGGGAGGCCTGGAAGATCATGAATCTATCCATCTGCATGAGGAACCCAGCCAGCTGGCCGGGGTCTCCAGAGAAGGGCTCAGGCAGCGAGGTGGGCGGCGTGGTCATGGGTCGGGTTCCGTTGGAGGCGATGGCGGAGATGGGCGGTGTGATCTGCAGAGCCCCGGGGATGCGCGCCCGGGTGCGCAGCAGGGTCAGCTCGGCCATCACGCTCTCCAGCATGTTAGTGAGGTTAGCCTTCTCTGCGCGCAGCGTGGAGGCCTCGCGCCTCAGAGCGGAGTTGGTGAGGCGCAGGGAGGTCAAGGTGTCAATAACGTCGTCTACTTGCGCGCTGGCTGCCGCGGCTGCCACCGGGCTTTCGGCTTTGGAGGTCTGCGGTTGGACCATGCTAGCCAAGGCTGGAGAACCGAGATGAGAGGCCGCTGGTGATGGAGCCGATGGGCCCTGGCAGAGTCTGGGCAGGAGAGGAACCCAGGGCAGGTTTTGGAACCTTGACGCCGTCTCCAATGCCACTCCTTCCTAAAGGCTCCACGGAACCAAGGCACTAACTGTCGGCTGGACCTGCCTAGGCCTCGCAGGATGGGCAAGCTGGCTCTAACCAGGCCTTGCAGGATGTGCAAGCTGGCTCTAACCAGGCCTCGCAGGATGGGCAAGCTGTCTCTAACCAGGCCTCGCAGGATGTGCAAGCTGGCTGTAACCAGGCCTTGCAGGATGGGCAAGCTGGCTCTAACCAGGCCTCGCAGGATGTGCAAGCTGGATGTAACCAGGCCTCGCAGGATGACCGGGCTGAACCTGACCAGGACTTGCAGAATGAGGAAGCCGAAACTGCATAAGACTTGCAGGCTGCGGGAGCTGAATCTAACCAGGCCTTGCGGGATGTGTGACTTGATCCTGCCCAGGCCTTGCTGCATGTGAGATACGGCGCTAACCAGGCCTTGCGGGATGCAGGACCTGAACCTGTCCAGGCCTTGCTGCATGTGAGAGCTGGATCTGTCCGGGCCCTGCAGGAAGCTGGGGCTGCAGGTGCAGGCGCTGCCAGCGGGGACCCAGCACCCACCTACGCGAGAACAAAGGCGGCGGCACCTGCGGCTGACCCGGGCGTCCTGGCGCACGTACCTGTCCCTCCGCCGCTTCCTCCGCCACCAAGATGGTCTTCTCGGAATGGGGGCCCGCGGCGGCCAGGCGGATGCGTCACGGCGGCACCGGAACTGCTTCCTGGCAGAGGCTCAGCCCGGCGGGACACAGGCGCAGCGCGGTCACCCGAGACCTTTCCGCGGGCGGGGCGTGCGAGGCAGAGGTGGGTCCCGAGCGAGTCGCTCAAGGCCTGCAGGTTGCCATGGAGACCTCGGGGTCCCCCGGAGCCTAGCCGCGCTGAGACCCGGCTCCCGGAAGTGATGCAAAGGTTTTCCCCCCTCCCACGCCTGGACCGGCCTAGCAGCCTATCAGGATGTTTCGTTTCCTCTCCTTCATCCATCCCGGACCGGCCCGTTTGGTTTTTTTTCCTGGCTCTTCCCGAGGTTGTTTGCAAAGCTTTACAAAAGTGTTAAAATTGTTTTTTAAATGCAGTTGACTTTCTTTATTGTAACTTGGATGCAAATTGAGTAAGATCATGGTAGCAAATCTTGGCAAGGAAGAAAAGTATTTTTTATTTTACTTTTTGGAAATAAAGTATTGTGTGACCCCAGCTGGTATGGACCTCACGAGGTAGCCTTAGATGACCTTGGACTGATCCTCCTGCCTTGGCCTCCCCAGTGTTGAGTTTGCTAGAGTGCGTGCATCACTCTACCCGTTAATGCAGCGCTGGAGATCAAACCTAGGGCCTGGTGTAGTAGGCAAGCACTCTGCTAACCCAGCGACATCCCCAGCTCCTGAAGCCTTAAAATTTTTTCATTCACTAGTAGGGCATTCATTCAACGTCCTACTGTGTAGGCCACAGCACCTTTTCTATACTCCACCCAGTCATTCTATTACAATCCCACTGCAAAACACTGGCGTTTGTACCTTAGGAACTGCCTTAAATTCACGTTGAATTTTGACTTTCCCTTTGGAGGTAGCTCAGAGGCCTGGCTGTCAGTTTTTGCCTAGGTTTCCATCCTAAGTGGTGTTTTATTCTTCCTGCCTTTTGGATAAATCCCCAACTTATTTTCCATGCTAAAATTTTATAGACTATTCTTTATGTCAGTCCCAGCTCCTCCTGCTGGCTGTGCCGAGAATTCTGGGAAGAAGGAGATCCGGATGCCTCCTAGGTTGGCCTGACTTAGCTGTTCCTTTGTGGTCATTTCCACACTGGGGCGTGGGGAGAGAGAAAATACCTTATCAGAGTACAGTCTAGAAGCCTGCCGCCCCAGAGGGAAGGCAGTCGTGGGATAGGGATGGATTTACCCATCCGTAGCTTTCACTCTAGTTGGGGAACTGAGGCCAAAGTAGCCACAGTTGGAGCGAAGGCTTGCATTCCAGTGGTCCAAACTGGGTGCTTTTATGACTGGCTGGAACTTTCCAGAGCTTGAAGCAAGAGAGGAAAGGAGGGGGACTGTGAGATCTTCCAGATGGAGGCAGGCGTTGCATTCACCTTGTTGACACAAAAGCACAACTCTCACCTCAGAGGGGATAAGAGATAGTTTATTCTGAAGCCAAATATGAGTGGCCGTGGCCCAGGAACACAGATTCAGGTTACCTCAAATTCCATGTTCCAGCATGGAAGTGATTTCATGAAGTTTTTATAGCAACAGACCAAAGTCATCAATCAGGACACTTTTCAAATACTTTGGTAGAAACATCAAGTAGGCAATTACAGCAAAAAGAGAAACCTCAGCCATAGGCCTCAAATTCTGTCTGATGACACTCAGTTTTTTGGTTGGTGGAAGCTGGTGGTCTGCTAAGTTAATACATTCCAAAAGGTTCTTATCTATAAATCACAGGATGTTAAGTCAGAGACAAAGGTGGACAAGCAGTGGCTATTCAGGGGGCTAGAGCTGGCCCAAGATAAATGGTAATTAGGCTCTGAACTTGCAACATTCCAAACTCTCCACAATCACTGAGGTTCTACCAGTTGATCAGCCTTTGTAGGATGTTCGGGATTTTAAAAAATATTTTATTTGTATTACTTTTATGTGTATGAGTACATCTCCTGCATGTATATAAGTGCACCTGTGCAATGCCTGCGGAGGTCAGAAGAGAATGAATTCTCCAGGAACTGGTGTTATGGACAGTTGTTAGCTGCCATGTGGGTGCTGGGAATCAAACCTCTACAAGAGCAGTGAGTGCTCCTAACCACAGAGCCGTCTTTACCGTATTCAGTTTTAGGGTGCAGTTTTTCTGGGAACTGCATTCACAACTTTGACTGAGGCCAGTGACTTCCAAGCTGAAATTGGCTTTTGCAGAATCCCTCTCCTGTCCCAGTGCTTCTGAACACAGGAGTCCCTATGAGTCTGCGCCGCCCCCCAGGGGGCCCTGGATGCTGTGGGCTATAAAATGGCCTGCTGTAGACCCAGCTGTGGGCGGCAGTGTAAACCCAAGATTCTCCAGGTGCACCAGAGAGGTGTTCTGCATGGGCTGCTTAACCGTCTATGATGGCTAGACCTATTGGGTTCAAATGGGTTGGTTTATTAAGCATGTAAGCGGGAGAAAATAAAAGAACAACTCCCAGAGAGAGAAGCAGCTCTGGCAAAGCCTCGTCAAAGCAGGAGTTCATGACATCCAGCAGAGACGACAGGGTGGTCTGCTGGAGAGCAAAGGCAGTCTCACCCAACTGGGGCTTAAAACGTCCGGCAGAAACCAGCTGGGGAAGATGCAGGCAGCTGGAATTCCATTGAGCTTTCTATCAGTGAGCTTCTGGCCTGACCTCCAAATGCAGGCATTTTTATACTACGGGATAAGCAACAGAAACCCAGTTGGGAATGGTTCACCTTCCAGCTGCTCTCAGGGGTGCAGTTTTAACACCCTTGGCTGCTTGCTATTTTCCTTCTTCCCTGGCAGAGTTAGGGACCAGCTTGCCCCAGGATAGAGAGTTTTGGAGGGGACTTGTTCCCAGAGCCCGAGTTCAGTAAGCCTCAACAGCACATGGCAGTTTACCAAAAAAGTGTGTGTTACAGAAATGATAAAATGTGACATTTGTTTGTATTTTGCCTCATTTCAAAGGAGCTATTACTTGGCAGTCCAGAAAAACGTAGTCAAATGAAAACTAAAAGACTATGGTTTTGTTGTTTGTTTTGTTACCAGGCTGTCTTCAAACTCTGTAAGCAGCCAAGGATGACCTTGAACTTCTGACCCTCCTGCCTCCTCCTCCCAAGTGCACAGCTTACACAGAGATGAGGATCAAACCCAGGGCCTCCTGCATGTTAAGCAAGCACTCTACCAACCAAGCTACAGCATCAGCCCCCAAAACTAAGTCCAGATGTTGCTGTGACTCAGTCAGAGGCGTTGACTCTGACGCACAGGCGGGGCAACCTACAGGAGAAAACACGAAGAGCGTGTACTGGGCTCCGCGTGGACTGAATTCCCTGCAGGCTGGAGGCTCAGACTGTACTGCAGAGCCAAAGCCTGTTGAGCTCTGGGTCCCAAGGCAGATACAGTATGTGAAGGCAAGAACAGAGTTAGGCTTTTGAAGCAAGGGGAGAGTCACTCAGAACGGAGTCTGAGATCTCAGAATCAGTCATTTCTTGGCGGTGACATTGTGTGAAAATGTGGCCCTGGAATAGAGGGGCTCATGCTGCCTTGATGGATAAGCAGACCAGAACAGGGATGTGGGTCAGATTGGCCAAGTAACAACCATGTCCTGTACTGCAGACCAGGCCTCAGATAGGACAAGCTGAATTTGGGGAAGGAGGGAGGGAAGAACAGAGGGAAGGATAATGTCAGCTTTAACCCCCCCCCCGAAAAAAACCAGAAATCCAAAACTCTGAAGCCCCAACACCTAACGCTACACATGACAGCCAAGATCAACAGTCATAAAACAAATGAACTCCAGAAGTTAAAATAATAGAACAATTTTTAAAGACTCTCGAGTGAGCATGTATGGTGCTCAGAAGACTGAAGGAAGTATGTTCTGAAGCAGACAGAGGGAAATGCATAGTGTATCATGATCAGGTATCTGTGACAAGATCAGGTGCTTGCTGCCAAACCTGATGACCTGATTTCAATCCTCAGGACCCACATGGTGGAAAGAGAATCAGCTCCAGAAAGTTTGTCCTCTGACCTCCACATATGTACCACGTTGTGTGCACCTTCACTCTCTCTCTCTCTCATCATGAATAAAATTTTAGATATATATAAGATGGAGTAGACGCCTCTTCCCCATTTTTTCCACTAGAGACATTTTTTTAACATTTATTTATTGGAAGAAGTGGGCACGTGCCACAGCACACAGTGGAGTTCAGAAGGCAACTTTTGGGAATTGATTCTTTCTAAAAACAACTT